GGCAGCGCAGGAGGGCAGCGCGGGGTGCGCGGCGCAGCGTGGGCCCGGGGGGTCCGGGAGGGTTCACCAGGAGAGAGGAGAGGAAAGTACGCGCTGCGGTGGTAGCACGGGAGGCCGTGCCTGAGTCGGGGGGTCTGCCGCTAGGTCAGAAGCACTGCCGCGCTGAGCTGCCCCCTGCCAGCCTGCAGGCCATGCTGAGGGGATTTGCTACCTTAGCACGCCCAAGGACTGCTGTCAGGGCACATCCATGGCTTGACCCCATGCTTCTACCATGAGACTTAAACGATTTTGGAAGTAAAATGAATGACCTTTTGGGAACTGAGGCCTTTGGCCAGTTTCAGATTCATAGGGAGAAGCCTGAAGCAAAGCAAGTAAGCGTAGTAGTTATTTAGTGGCACAACAGCTGCTGTGAGTAAAACTGTCTGAAAAGTGTGTGCAGCAAATCTCACTGTCAAGAGCCGAATGTCCAAAAAGGAGACAGAGGAGTCCTAAAACTTTATTTGAATAAAGGGAGAGTCCACCAGGACATACCCCTGTGGGGTATCTCAAATTACTGGAGGATGCAGCCTCCTTTTATCGCAGTTTCCTGGCAGAAGTATGCCCGCTCCTTTTCCCCATTGGCTAAGATACTCAGAAGTTCCAGACTTCTCAGAACTAACTTCTCAGTCTAACATATGTTGCTTTGTGATATGTTCCCCCTCCCTGGTTGGTCATTTGTTCATGAGGAACTCTCTGCCCTGCTCCTGTTTTTTCCAGCAGCATCCAATCTCATACACACAGCACGACCTACCTGCCTGTACTCCCTAGTCCTGCTTGCTAAAGAATGTGGAGTGACTCCCTTATTTGTAAAGACACAAGTTCATTTTTCCCTTATTTGTAAAGACCCAGGCTCCTTTTTCTGCTCGCGTGGATTATGTAACCCGAAGCGCAGGAGAATGCGCACCTCTAGTGAAGTCTGCTTGTTCTCTCAATTGCTAGAAATGTAGAGATAAAACAGTGTCAGCACCTGAGAGCATCTTCTGAAAGAGTATATTCTACAAGAGAACATATTTTCTGATGAGAAATTCAGCAGAAACTTGGTATCTTCTGGTCAATCAAGCGTTTACACAAATATCTTGTGTTTGGCAGCTCTGCGGGGAGAATGGAGCAGCTGGTAGGCAGCAACAGGCTCCTTAAAAATCAGCTCTATCGGATGGAAACTGCCAATGCTAAGGACACTGCTGGAAGGCTGGGCTGGAGCGGGAACTGAGAATATAGCCATGAAGGCTGTTCAAATGCTGGCTCAGCAGCGGGTACTAAAGCTGGCATTATTCAAGGGAAAATATTCCCTTTATCATATCTGAGCACTTCTGCATTTTTTTCATGTAATTCGCAAGCACAGGGTGACTGATCCTGGGTGAGGATGTCAGAAGACATGTGGCGAAACAGTTATATAATAAGCCAATAGATACTCATTTTAAGAACATAAGAAAATGCACTCTGCACTCTTTTGCTCTTTTGAAGACATGCTACAGAGAGCTCACTTATTTGTGGTGTCTTCCCTCAGTCTTCATGCTTCAACCGTCATTGGATTACAGATGTTCACCTGATCCGTTTACAACCTATTAATGAATCTGTTGTCTGTAAATCTGTCTAAAACCTTTTCATGCTGTGACAGTCTACCTCCCCAAAGCCCTGTGGCCCCAAATTCTAGAAGTGCACACCTGTTGTGCAAAGAATATTTTTTCTTTTATCTGATTCAAATTCCTCATCTTCATCATATCCAGAATGAACAGACCCAAACCATCGTAAGGCAGCTGCTCCATTCACTATCGTTTAGTTACAGGGATAACTTCTTTAACACCTACAGAGATGCATAGACTGCATGCACTTCTCAGGATATGACTGTGCATACCAAGGCTGTCCATAGTACCTTGTACTATGTACTTGGCACTGTGCAGTACCAAGGTACTATGGTAAATAATTCCTTCTGCCTTGTTCTGAATACCTCCCTTGTGCTCACTACTTCTCCTGATAATACCCAACCTTTTGTTGATGTTTTTTTTTCACTGCTGCTTCCATTAAGCCAATAATTTCAGTGGCTTTTTGCACTCACCATTGCTGAGCTCAGCGTTGCATAAACATGTTTTGGATTTTTTTCTTACGTGCATTATTGTACACCCAATCTCATCGGACATTTGTTTATTTATTCAGTTCCAATGCCACAGTTGCCTTTCTCCTCCCAGCTGAGTAAATGGAAAGATTTTACTTTCATTTCATGTTTTCCCCACCCACCACAAACCACATGTCAATGTTTTGATCTGACCCTGCCTGCAAGTTGCTGATTCCTTCTCATACGCTTGTGATATCACTTAAAAGATGTCTGTGATATCTCCCCTAGTAGCTAATTTCTTAAAAGTGTCTTGGAAAATTTTATCGCATTATACACACAAATAAGTGGTAAATCAGGTAAAAATATGGGAAACTGCACCTGCTTTCTGCCTCCAAGATAGATCCTTGTCTGTATTGAAAGTCTGCAGAGTATGAATCTGTTTTAAAATAAATCTATGCTAAGCACTTCTCAGTTTTTTCACAAGGACCATTGCCATTTTACATTCTGTAGAATTTAGAATTTCAAAGTAAAAAAAAAAAAAGTTTTACAACCATTTCTAAATGCACAGTATAGATAAACAGCTGAAACACACAGCTGGAACTAAAATAAATTACTTAAGTTGAAGGCCTGTGCAAGTACATAAAATACACAAGAATGGGAAATAGATGTTTAGTAGATATAATGATGTGGGAATAAGATCATAAGACCATAAGTTACTCTTGGTTGTCCTTGGATCATTTCAGGGAACAATTCTGGAATTGTGCTCTCTTGATGGTCCACAGGGCTGGCATGAGAACAGCTCCTCCTGTCACGGGGAAGTGGAAACCACTACTCATGCAACTGGTTCATACCATGTCAGTAATGTGGGTTTTGTTTGTTTGTTTATTTGTTTTTGCCCCGTCAGGAGACTGCCTGATTGGAACCGAAGAACACTGGAGAAGGTAATCTGTTTTTTTAGATAAATAGAATTTATTTAGATAAATATTATATTCTTGGTTTTTAAGTTTTTGCTTCTGTAGTCATTAGGGAGCACAGCAGGATTACCTGTGGATACTAGTTATCCACTTGGATGCTTCCACGCTAGTTGTGTACCTTCATCCCATCAAGTACACCATTATTTGACTCACTGTATTTACTTTTAAAATATTTTTATGCATATTTACAATACTGAAACATTGTGAGAACTATGACCCTGTCCTCCCAGTGCGGGATGACTTCCATTGGAATCAAGAGGAAGGAATCAGATCTGCTACCACTTTCAAAGAGCATCATGCTATTTTTGAGCCTTCTCTAGAAGGTTACAGACCAGAAAATGTGATTACAGCTCTCGTTTGAAAACAAGAAAAAAAAAAAGCATAGATTCAAAGCCATTGCAAAAAACTTGACATCTGTGTTTTCTCATAGATTTCACCAGAGAGGACGTGAGCTAGAAAACAGTTTGGAAAGTAAAACACAAATGCTTTTCTTTGATACTCCTAGGATTTCTGTGGCTATAGGGGAAACATGTCCAAATCTGTTTGTTTGGTATCTTGCTGCTTCGTCCAAGTCTGTGATTACTTCGTGATGACAGTTACACATGGCCTTTACACATAAATCAGAGAAAATATACTTAGGAGGTAAGTTGAGGGAAAAAAAAAGAGGAAGAAAGCTGTTATAATTGCCATTTTGTATAGTAGCATAGAGAAAATAAGTTTGAGTATTAGGTTCTCTGCATCTTGTGTTCCCTGAGTTTCTGACTTTCAAATAAAAGCATCCAGAAAACAGCAGTGTTCTGGTGATGTAGCAATTGATGTTTGATTGTTGTATTGTTTAGTTATTAGTGAGCTAATGTATTAGAGGATTTTTATCTAGCACAGGGCTTGAAATGGAATGGTAGACCTCCATTAATAAGAACTGAACTGTAACACTGCTAAAGCACGCATACTTGCACATGGAAAGCAAGGACATCAATAAAAAATGTTGAGTGTGGTGTGTGTCAAGGCCACAAGCGTGTTTAAAGAAGATAAAGTAGTTAAGGAAGATCTGTTACATTTAGATAAGAAGCCAGGAGTCTGGACACCTGTCTAGTTGTGCTTCTGTATTTTATAAGTAGCTACAAATTAAGTATGTTACAAATTGTCTTGATCCTAGTATAAAAAGATCCTCCTGTAGCACCTCTGGGCCCCTCCACATGAGGAGGCAGCTGGCTAAAGCTGAATAAACCTGCTTTGACAAGATCTCAGCTCAGTCTATTGAAACCTTTGGAAACCTGCGAATAATTCATTTTTATGGCATTTGGTCTGCTGGTTCTCCAAACAGCATTCTTCTGCTTTACAGAATCACAGAATCACAGAATGGTTCAGGTTGGAAGGGACCTCTAGAGATCATCTAATCCAACCTGCTCTGCTCCAGCAGGGACACCTAGAGCACGTGGCACAGGGTCACATCCAGGTGGGTTTGGAAGATCTCCAGAGAAGGAGACTCCACAACCTCTCTGGGCAGCCTGTGCCAGGGCTCTGTTACCCTCACAGGAAAGAAGTTCTTCCTCACATGGAGGTGGAACTTCCTGTGTTTCAGCTTGCACCCATTACCCCTTGTCCTGTCACCAGCCACCACGGAGAAGAGCCTGGCCCCATCCTCCTTTCCATCACCCTTCAGGTACTTGAACATGTTGATCAAATGTTTACTCTAGGTATCTTTCTGTGTCTGATTCAAGTCTTCTGCTGAGAGAAATTGGTAATCATTCAGGAATTTTTGATACTTTGGGGAATCATTTTGCGAACCTCATGGCTATTCAGTGGATCTTCTGTAAGGTCCAAACTTGCAGAAGATCATGGAAATTAAATAATGATGTGAGTTAAGTGGCAAGTTTGTCACCTGAAGAACAAGATCTCTGTGCAAAACTAATTGTATGTTAGAGATTGTGGCTGTAATGGCATATGTGCACATACACACACATAAAATCATAGATGCACACAAACACACAGAGTACTTCTTGTGATGCATGACTTGAAAAGTATTGCAATTGTCTTTAAGATATTGTATCTACCAGGATTTTTCTCATTAAAAGATTTTAGGCTCAAGGGAAGGGCAAAGGCTGTAATCACTGCAGCTCCATTGGCTCACCTTGCATTAATAAAAGTTAAGAATCAGCTGAGAAAGGACTTTGCATTGAGGCCAAGAGAAGGTGCAAAGCTTCTAAAGTTAGGAACTAGAGAAATTTCCTAACATGAAGCAGAAAGGGTGTGAATACTGTGGGGCAATGGAGGGTACCAGAGTTCTCCCAACTCACTGAAATCATGAAATAACCACCGGGCAAATTCAACGTCATGTGCTAGTCTAACTTGTATTCCGTTGCTTTTCTCCTCGAACAATTCTGTTCTTAGAAATTTAAGGACCCACAGATCCATGATTTCCTGTCCAAATTGTTCCTACAGACAAGCTATGGACAACTTTGCAAGCTTGGGAATGGAAATATTTCTCATCATGCTGCAACAGTATGTTTGTGAAGCAGCAGTACCAGGAAAACTACAGGAAAAAAATCTCCCTTCCTGCCCTATGGGCATGAATCACTTCCGGCTAAAGAGCTGGTAGAGAGGTTAAATATTGCATGGCTTCACTAGTCCACTAATACAGCCATTAGTGCACCAGGAGACCAGATCTAGGAAAGTGAAGGAAAGGTGATGGGAAATTAAAGACAGCAAATAACAGTACCATTCAGCCTATCTTAGAGGTCTTTTCCAACCATAATGATTCTATGATTCTGTCTTTCTATGCACAAGCAGGTATTGTTTCTGATTAAAAGTGGCAAATAGGATTAATTCTCCTAGTTTTATTTATTTATTTATTTATTTATTTATTTATTTATTTATTATTCTTTCTAAGGGGGGAGAAGAATCCAAACCGAGACCAAATCTCTCCTGCCTCATTAGCAGCTCTGTCAGAGAAAAAGAAGCAAGGAAAGCAGTACTTTAAACCTGCTAGCCAACCCACAGCTTGTAGATATTCAGATGTGAGCATTCAGACAGACCTGGCTCAGGATCTGAGCAGTTTAGCAATGCTGGCATTGGCCAAAGACACATGGGGACAAACCACCCAAAGGAGACTGGCAGCGTGAGAGGCAGGCAGGCAGTGGAGGGCATCTTGGGACTGAAGATAGTAGCTGTAGCTGTGACATAAGCCTTGTGAGTCCTCTCCCATGATAGATGCTGGGCATCAAAGGACTCAAGGAGCACAAGAGCTGGGTGCTTGTTCTCTCTTGGCACTGCCAAGGTAGGCACTGAACTGCCTCCGACAGCTGCCACCTTTGCCCGTGCTATATTCACTGTTGCTTGAAGTGTTTTGGGCAGCATTTTAGATGAAGAATTGAATATACTTCAAGCATTCTCTCCCCGTTACCCTGCAGCAGTCACCTGCCTCCTGCTCGGGGGAGCTCCGCAGACCTGCTTTAACATGAAGAGCTCCCGATGTAACACAAGTAGATGAGTTCCGCTTTCGCTCCCTTTCATCCATCATACCCTGTTTAACTGGGAGAACCGGAGCCCCTGAGATCACAGAGATCCCTGGGTGCTCCCTGCGCCTGGAGCAGCAGGCCGGGGGTGCGCAGCAGTGTAGCAGCGGGGACGCTGGGCATCACCAGGTCGCGTCCTGGCTGCGTGGTCCGCGGGCCCGGTGCCAAGTTTCCCTTCTGCGAGAAAGGAAAATGAAACCGAGAGCTTCCCCGCGCCGCGAGGCGGGCCCGGCCGCTGCGCACTTAAGCGCGGAGCGCGGCGCGCCGCGATGCAAAC